TGTCCAGTTCTGGGCTCCCCAGTTCAAGAAAGATGAGGAGCTACTGGAGAGAGTCCAGCAGAGGGCTACAAGGATGGTGAGGGGACTGGAACATCTCTCCTATGAGGAGAGGCTGAGGGAGCTGGGCTTGTTCAGCCTGAAGAAGAGAAGGCTGCGAGGGGACCTAATATATACTTATAAATATCTGAAGGGTGGGTGTCAGGAGGATGGGGCCAAGCTCTTTTCAGTGGTGCCCAGCGACAGGACAAGGGGCAATGGGCACAAACTGAGGCATAGGAAGTTCCGTCTGAACATGAGGAAGAGTTTCTAGATGACTAGATGACCCACAGAGGTCCCTTCCAACCCCTACCATTCTGTGATTCTGTGACTCTATGATTCTGTGGCTGCTTCCTTTGCCTTTGCTAGGCCTTTGCTAACTGCTGCTTAGTCAAAGGGCTGGTTTCAGTCAGTCGAGAGTGATGGTAGAGTGGATCCAACAAAAAGTCTCACATGCTCTGCAGCTGGGGACTGGACATGTCACGGTCCCTGATGTAACCCAAACTCTGCAGCTGTGCCCTGAGGCGTAATGCCCATCAGGCATGGAGAGAGTGGGGCACCTTGAAGGCTGAGTCAAAGGCACACAGGCCACAGGAACATGTCTTGATCCTGTCTTCTGAGATTAGGCTGCTTAGGAGGCTAGAGGCCAGGTTTCTGCCTGGCTGACAGCCCATCCAGGACAGCACATGCCTGCTACTACTGGAAAAAAATTGTGTGAGTTTCAAGTTTTCCCTTTGTAAAGAGAGGAACAGTCTACCCATATCTGCCTCTTACTAGACAGCATGCTGGATAGAGCATTCTCCCAGAAAATGGAAGATGTGGGGGAGGTTTCTAGTTTCTTTTCCATTTCAGTGAATTAAAGTCCATGTTTTCCTCTTTCATGTCACACGTGAAGGAGATGGTCATTCTTTGAGCCCTACACTAGGTAGAAAGGAATGAAAGAGTCAGGAGATCAGGAAAAAAAGCACAAGCGGTGCTCTGTTGATTAGCATATTTACTGAGAAAGGAATGCATATATTCTAACCCAAGAACAAAGAGTCTCCCTGTAGTTTTTTTATGCCATGACTATTCAAAATAAAAGTAATAAATAGTGCTGGGAGCAGGAACTCCATCTCAGCCAGGTCTACTTCCATCCTGAATCTAGGACAATATGCCAATGACTTTTAAATTTAAAGCTAATGAAAGCACCCCATGGCTATTACAGAGATGCAATCAACAAGGATCAGGCAAGTTTATCATCTTTGACAAGAAACTTATTTATGTCCCAACTGCCATTGTAAGATCTGTCCTCTGGAGGGGTTGAAAAGGCTCCCAGGGCCCTCCTTCCAGTCAGCAGGGAGAAGAATGCTCTTCTAGAGGTGACCATGAGCAGAAAGCATACCTGGCGTGTCTCCAGAGCACTCTGTCAAACCTCCAGCTTCTCAGCTTTCCATCTTCCCAGGGGTGAAGTATTCTCGAAAGAGAATTTACTTGGGTGAAACAATTACAAACCATTTGGTTATTAATAATATACACTAAAATATGCACACACATAATACATATGTGAAATAATTGTGGCTTTGTATTAGAATCTCTGTAGCTAGAAAAAGAATAGACAAATAGCCAGAAGACAAATAAGGGACCTATGAGGCCTGTGCTGAGCTTCCTGCTTTTTTCTATTTGACCCAGGCAAACAAGAAACATACTATCCAACTCCCACTGGCCTCCATTATTCCTTTTGTCCCACAACCTTAAAGATACTATCAGGCTTAGACCTTTGTGATTTTGCAACTCCTAGCAGCTTTTTGTTCTTCAAACATATGCTATTATCCTCATATACAGCCTCAGTGAGTTATTGCTATAATAACTATGTTAAACAAATGATTGTAAGGTGAACAAACACTATGTTAATAGAGCTCTTGAAGGCAAGTAAGAAAAACTTCCATTAATTTTTTTGACAGAAGTCCTTTGTAGAAAGAAATATTTTAAAATCCATTTAAGTTAGGGGAGACTGTGACTAAACCACAGCCAATCAATAAGAAATAAATTGAGTTTAGAATGATCTGCCTTTAAAATAAGAAAATATAAATGAAATTCAGACTACTTCTTTCAAAAAACAAATTAAAGAGATCCCTGAAAATTTTTCTAAAGCATATTTTTATAGGAAAGAAAACTAGAGATATTCTGGTTGAATTTTTTTTGATGGAATGGCTTTCTCAGAAAAAAAAAGGAGTTTGTTAAAATCAGTGCCGATTGTGGTGGATTTTTCAAGGGAAAGGTTTAAAAATTATTCATCTGACATTCTCCTTATACTGTAGGACTGAAGTACATCCTAATAGGAAACAAAACGTCTCTTAATGTTCTCCGAGTGGCACTGGGTTAGATGTTAGTTTTGACCCTTCTTACTGTCTTCACATCTTACTGCTCATAGTAACTAAACAATGGGAATGAGAACCAGCTTTTTATAAAATAAAATTTCAAACTCTTCTGCGAATGTGTTAAATTAGCAACTGTCTGTAATATATTAATGCATCTTATATAAATGTTATGATATTTCTTGGTACCCAAACATGGTCCAGGTGCGCAGGCCCAGTTTTCTCCCACCCAGTATATCCACTGAAGTGGGACAACTACATTAGAAGCTAACACGTTAAGGGGGAGGGCACCTCCTGAGGACCACATTAGGTACAGTGGGGTTTAGCTGGTTTTGACGTAAATAGAACTTGGGCAGACATTGCTGCAGATGCTGGTTTTGGTCAGAGGGCCCTATGTTTCTCCTCAGTGTCAAGCCAGCCACGTAAACCGTAGTTTGGATCTGGGCCACGCTTCCTCTTTAGGCAGAGGTACAATAGCTTTTTATCAAAGCACAAACTGGCTTCGTCATATTGCTTCCTTCCACTGAGAGAAAGAAGGGTTGTTTTTTTCCCATAGACTCAAATAACATTTCAAGTGCTCTCCTGCTATTCTGCATTCAGAGAAAGACCTCAAAATCCAGGTTACACAGAGAAGTGTAATTCTTAGTTATTGCAGCGCAGGTAGGTATGCAACAAAGCATAGGCAACTACAACAAAACTCTGGGCCTTCAGACATTTCAGTCTCTCTCTCTCGTGACAGTATTGGCAGGCCAGATGATTTTGTGAGGATGAAGTAGCCAAAATCTCCAGTGTGCCAGTGACGACCTGCAGCATGGCACAGTGATGACCTCCCAAACCACAGCAGGTTACCCCCCACAGCAGGGTACCCCACATGCAGAGTCTTGTCTCATGGGGAAAGCTGAACCAGGTGCTCCTTCTGACTCCTTTGCTAGCATCCCTCTCCTTGTGAAGCTGGAGTCTCAGGCTGTGTGAGATCTGGTGTAGATTCCTATCAGCTGCACTTCTAAGATCAAACCACCTCTCCCTTGTTCTCCTGTGAGAAGTATTTCTGATTTCCAGTTTTATAATTTTCTCGATTTCTGTTTTCTTCAATTTATGTTTTCTGTTGGCTATGTTTCACAATCCTTGACTGATGTGCTGGTATTAGTAAATTTATTTCCTGGGATCTAACTGGCATGGAGTATCCTAGAAGGAATTAGACTGCTTAAACTTCAAACTGTGGGTTCCTCTCTGGTGTCTATACCCTTAAGATTTAGGCATGCCAAAACTGAGTGTTATGGTGACTAAATTATTTGATGGATTTCAGTAGGAGTTAGGCACCTAAACAGGCCTGAGAACCTGTCCCTGGGGTCTCAGCAGATGCATGATTAAAACTGTTGCACATGGTATGCAGAATGTAATGCAGCATGTCATGATAAAACTGATGGTGGAAAATATTACTGTAGCTGTAGGCTTTTTCCCTGCAGAGGATCTGAGATCATTTCATGTTATTATGCCTAGTAAATGGTAGTGATAAAATTAACTAATCTCTGTAAATTTATGAGAATGGATGCTTTTAAGTATAATAAACATATCTTCTCTTATTATACTACAAATTATGATTCTTCCTTTCATGTTTTGAGAGGCCATAGTAATATCATGTGAAAATAATAATGTATGAAACTAAAGATCAGAGGAAAGCTGATAAGCACAGAAATATTTCAGTCAGTGCTTTTGATGGTCTGACCCAAAGCCACATGAAGGTCAATAGTATGCTTCCCTTGGTTTCAATAGGCCTTGCATGAAGCCGGGATGCCTCTTAGGGAATTACACCACACTGATCTTGAGACCTGTATGGGTACCTCTTCCATGCTAGAACATTCCTAAAATAGGTCAGAAGGCATGCATTACTAGCAAAAACAAGTTTTGAAGAAGCTTGTGTAGGCACTTACACACCAAAGATATCT